CCTGGACACCAAGATTTTATTCGAACAAGTCCCATAACGCGTTGTCCCAATAGAAGTATAGTCTTTAAAATATCACATACGTAATGTAATTTGATATAATATAAATATTCATGTAATTTGTGTGACATGAGGCTAAACCGCGGTGGCGCCAGTCGATTGTGTTTCGCAAGCTGACCACAATAGATGTCACTATCTCAATCAGCTAAGAAAGATGACGATAGAATAGCGTTCGTGTAGCTATAAGCATATCATGAATAATTCATTTAATTGTGTTAAAATTTTATTTTGTTGTAACTTAAGCAATAAAAAAAATATTTAAAAACACTGATTTTAAGAAATATCATTTAAACATTACAATTGTAGCATTTGTAAGATTGTTTTATGTATATTTAAGTATGTTATTCTTGAAATGTGAGTTCATCCATTGTTTATGAAGGGTAGCATCGTACCAACCACAAAAAAAGAAGCTCGATAAGACATAACAATAAAGAATACTTATAAGAAATATCGTTATTCTTGGCATGTTAACTTATATGCGCAATACAGTGGAGAAATGACCTTCTTCGCTCAATGTCAAGGAGTCAAGGACATGTTATTGACGCAAGGTAACGACGTTCAAAATTACATACATATTGACATTACATAATTTTTCCTGATTAGAATTTGACCAAGGAATTGCTACCTAGCTGACTTTAAGGGTATCTACCACAAGAATAAATTAGTTCATTTAATTCGGAACGATTAAAAGTAAAAAAAACTTTTTTTTTAAATAAGCTTTTATTTGAATGTGCTAAAACGAAAAAATCTGCAGATTTCCTATGACACTTCCAACTCCATCATGAGACCTCACTGAGACACAAACTACTCGCCGAGGCGATTCAAACTCGATGGGGTTGTGTCTTTTCATTGCGAAGTTCCTACGGCCATAAGCTCCATCATCAGATCAGCAAAGTGTTCAAAAATTTCAGCACAATCGTTTACCAGGAAGTGGATCAAATTTAATTTGTGAGTTTTGTTGACAAATATTGGGACAGGTGAATCTTAATAAAAGCTTGTAATAAAGTTAGTCGCAATAATTACAATAAAAAATTAATAAAAATACAATAGCCTATCAAATTATATCAAGCCTTACATAATTGACATACATATTATGGAAATGAATCACGAGAAAACCAGATTATAATTAATTTTATCGATCACGTGAAATTATTCGTGTTGTCGATAAAATTAATTATCATTTTATTATTAAATAATATATTATTATTAAAAAATATGCTTTCGCGAAACCTAATTATAAAAAGAGACTAATAAATTATAGAAAAATATCAACAAAATATAATTAAGTATTAACTTACAGAAAATTGCTCTTCCATTTTATTTACATGTCACGTAACTTGTAGTATTAACAATTTAATTAAAGAAAAATAAAAGTCATGACATACAAAATCATAATTAATTTTCGATATAAAAATATGACAGATTATTAGGGAAGTGATTATAAACATTTCTCATCCTCAGCTCACTATACGTCCCCACTTAGGGGCTCAGAGCCTACCCTATGCTAGGGGTGACTAGGCCATAGTCAAGCACGCTGACCCAGTACGGGCTGGTTGACTTCACATATGTCTTTGATTTTCTTCTCAAATATATTGCAGGTTGCATCAAGATGTTTTCCTTCACCATAAGAACATCGGATAAATGTACATATATAGATCGAAAATTGAAACACATTTGTACATGTAGGGATTCAAACCCTGGACTTACAGATTGCAAGTCAAGTGCTTAAACCCCTGAGCCACCGACGCTTTCAATTCTATTCTAGATAAATAAAATTATGTACAGATGGTTCGTTTGGCCTATTGCAAGTTTTTATTTGAAGTACAAGGAAAGAATAGTTTCTAATTAAACTATGTCAGAGCTCATTGACAATCATAACGGCTACAATCGGGTGCAAGTGACAAACCATTTACAGGTTGTGGCAAACTTTGTTAAGTATGCGCTACACAAATAACAATGAGCATTGGTGGGCAAAGTGTGCCGCGCCGCCGTAACTTATGTAATTTGAAGTCACCGTCAAATCCTGTACGCCGCTTGTATGGAATTTGCCCTGGTAAATCTAATCTCAGCATATCAAACGAAGATCGCAAATTGATGTCTTGTTTCGATGACTATTCTACACTTTGTAGCTTAACAAAATGTTTCCTACATTTTAACAAGTGTAAGTGTACACTTCATTGGATATATTGGGTTAGGCCGGCAACGCATCTGCAGTTCCTCTGGTGTTGCATGTGTCCATGGATGTCGTTGATCACCTCGGTGTTCCCGCCGCTCGTTTGTCCCATTCTCTTATAAAATTAAATTCTGACCATCCAATAAAGAATCGCGGACTTGCGGTCACGGATGAAGACAACTTCTACTAACGAAAACGTTTAAAAAATATACAACGTCATTTTGTGAATGATTTCATTTACCGTGGGTTTCTGAGAACAAAATCTCTGTTTAAAACATATATTCATCCCTGTCATTATCTTTAACGAAACAGAGATAACATTATGATGTTAACGAGGATTTTGGTCTCAGAAATTTACAGTGAGTCTGTTTACCAGGGCAAACTAAAAATGGACGGTAAACACGATTTACCGGTGAGATATGTAAACTGGTTTGATTGAGTGTGATATTTGCATTGTTGTAAAGTTCGTGGACGTGCATTAACTTTATAGCTGCATAATGTGTTATTTAATGAGCAATAAAGAACCGATAATACAGGGTGATTTAGTGATGTTAAACCATTTAAAAAACCCATAAACGATCCATGTGTAGGCGTATATTTGTATGTGGAAAGCTATAAAAATATTTCTAAACGGTATAAAATATATGTTAACTTTATGTTTCATGTAATTTTTAAAATACTTACGAAATACTAAATAAAACAAGTAATGAATCTAATGATAGGAATTTTTAAAAATCAGTGAAGTCGATTTGTTACTGTAATGGTGATTTCATGAAAATAATATCTCGCCAGTACGCAGAATATAAGAAAACATATTTATTCTTTATTTAAATGTAAATATAAAGCTGCTTGAAGCTTATGATAATTGTTTAATTTCAGAATTTATGATAGGTGTACCTAATCTTTGCGAGCGTATCAATGACAAATTAATACATAGAATAATATAACATAGTGATTTAAATGTAAAAAAATGCAAATTCACCATTACAGGCATTTGAATTCGAACTAGTGACCTTGCGATCACAGGTTAGTCGTCCGCGCGCTGGTCTATCTTGACGTATGAACTATACGTAAAATTAAGATATTTTAATTATTCTTGATTTTAATTCAATTATTAAATAACACCCTTTATAATTACGATGATTTTGTTAATAATATTTTATCCAAATAAAAATAATAAACCTATAGGGCGTGTGTTTTAAGGAAGGCCTTGCTTTGTGCTAAAGTTTTGTTCGTAACATCGATTAAAAAAGTTGCAAAAACAATGAAATCGGATGGAATGTTACGATTGTTTGTTTTCCGAACGTATCGCGAATACTACTAACACAATTTCACTTTATTTCATAATATACGTAAAATATCGTAACTAATCGGTATTGCGTCAACATAATTGCTATTCTTTGGTCTAGAAATTGTTATTGGTGGGTTAATTTGAATATGATGATGATTGCATAAATTGAATAGACCGTGTAATTTTTGTGATATTATTTATATGTGTATGTGTGAGTTTAGAAATACAAACAAAAAATCTTTTTGTCTATTATAAATGTTAATTAATTTTATAATTTAGTCTAAATAATTAAGTAGAATACAATGAGACGTATTAGTATTATCCATAATTTCATGTCAGGGATGGCAAACCAATGGCACGCGACATAATATTTTATTAACCAAATTGTCACTTAAAAATTGTAAATTTTGCAATTTATCATTTTTAACCATAGTATTTTATTAATAATAATAAGACATTTAATCCTCTCAAAGACAAAAAAAACAAACTTTAAAAAATTAAACTTATTTTTATTATAGTATCCTGTTTGCTAACCTAAAAGAGCGGTTTTATATGGAACGTGTCATTTATGGTACTGTATTCGAATACTCGTACTCGATTGGGTGCAAGGTTTCCCGCTTACGTTTATCTACTACGCTCAAAGAAATCCGAAAATCCCCGCTTCGTCTCCCCTACTATTGATGATTGTCCTAGTCAAATTAAATAGATGTTAGAATAATTTTAATAACAATTACGTTTTGTTTTTACTCAGTAATTGTAAGTCACCGCCCACGCAGTTTCTGTAAAGTCCAACTACATTCATTCCTTGCGTAAGGTTTCTTACTATGAATAAATTGAGCGAAATATGTGACATAGGTATTCAATGCATGGTGCTTCTATTTGAACGTGTGAACTTGACCTAATATTTGATGTGGGCTATAGAAATAAACGATTTAAAATCTGAATATAACATAGGCAATTTAAACTCCCCATAACAAAGCCTGGGTGGGAATTTAGATAGGATTGCCTTTAAGTGATATTTCAATGTAACACCAATATTTATTATCTGTACAAGATTCGTGAAATTAAAAAGAAACATTATTTAAAATCAAGTATTAAATTAAAAGAAATTACCTAGATCTTATAGAATAACTTTATGCCAAGATGCGTAACTTTTTAGTGCGAAACGTACTAAGATCTATAGTTAGACTTTTAAATTTTAATGAAAAAAAATATTATGGTAAAATTTAACTACATTAAATCAAAGAATAAATATTACGTTTTCTCTAAAATTATCAAAAACGTTAATAAACCAGAAAAACAATTAAATATTATTGGAAAACCAATACGATAAAAGTAAACCTCGAAATATAACAAACAGACGAGTTACTTTATATTCAATTTGAATTTATAAAGTTCATTGATTTTATAAACAAACATTTAACGACAACCAATCAAACTCAAGTACGAAGATTAACCGTTCGTTTCATCTTTGATACGTTCGAGAAAACGTCGTCACGATCCTGCGCAGGAGTTGAACCTCGGGTGTACTAGAGAGGGGCTGTTTGATAAATACACAAGCGCACGCTGACTGGAGGCAGTCGCGACGGCGGTCACCTCGGTACCAAAATGAGGACGCTAGCGATCACGGTGGGTGTACAGTGAAGTGTTGTGTTATTTTATATGTCGATAAATAGTGAAATTCATTTTTATATTTCCAAAAATATATATATATATATATTTGTGTCTAGTGATGTTGACAAAATTGAAAATTTCAATAAGGGCACGAGACTACTCCATAAGCAGAGTATCGTTGCCAGTCTCTTCCAAACTGTAATAAAACCACAAAAATTGGCACATGTCCAATTCGCTAATTAACCCATAAACAAGAAATGATTTAAGAGTTTTACGATTAAATTTAATTAAAGGACAAGTGTGAAAAAAAATAATTTGCAAAAAGAACAAAACCTTTAAAAGACGAACGATTAACGAAAATTTTCTCTACATCTGGATATGATTTCCATTTCTAATCTTTCGCAAAACATAATAATAGGTCCTATTTTTACGTCAAATTAAATTTTAGTATATTTTGTGTCGCGGAATCTATTTTCTCAAAATTGTGATGATATATCATATAGAGAAATATAGAATTATTAACAACGTTGTAACTAAAGTCAACAATAGTAACAATAAAAATGATAAAAAACAGAATTTATTAAGATTAGTCATGGTTACAACAATTACATTAACATAAGTGATGGTTTACTTGTTTATGTTTATGGAACAATAATAATTATTTTTTCGACTATGAAACGAAATATTCCAATCCGTCTTTAGTGATATGGAAAGCTTAAGCTTTTTGTTGATAAAGAAAATAGCGCAGTTTTGTTAGCGTTTTCATATATAAGACTAGTTACACTGACTACATTTATTTAGTTTTCATTGCAATACAAATATTAAAAGAAATTAAAACTCTTACATTAATAGTCTAATTTCATCGCATAACATTTTTTTTTACGTAAATGTTAATTCTAATAGAGTTGATTATGTGTTTTTTTTTAAAGTAAAATTATGTGAAGAATAAAGTTTTTAAGACTATGATATACATAATTGATCCTAATGCTTGCAATCGATTAAAAGAAATATAACTGAAAATAACAAATAGACCAGATACATATTACATCGATGGAAAGGAAAAAATTTACATGCGTTTTTGTCTATAGAGTTTTAAAATGAGTTATTATGAAATATGTAACAATTTGCCCTTTTAAGTTCTAACAATAGTTTTCTTTACAGTTATGGTTGGTGCTCGCACTTGCGGCGGCTCTAGCCGTTCCTGTCAAGGACGTTGCGAACGACCCTGAAGCAGCCAGGGAGAAACGCTCACCGAGTGGTTGGCATTCCGAGCCTGAAGGAGTTTGGAAGAAGAAACTCGTCTGGAAAGAAGACTGGAAGCAAATTTGGAAAACTGAAAAGAAACTTATTTGGAAGACAGAATGGAAGAAGGAAAAGGTTCCCGCTTGGAAAACGGAGCAAGTCCAACAATGGAAAGAAGAACAAGTCCCAGATTGGAAAGTAGTTCAAAAGCCGATTTGGAAAGAAGTTCAAGTGCCCATATGGAAGGAAGTTCAGGTACCAGATTCGAAAAAGGTTTGGAAACCAATATGGAAGGAAATACAAGTGCCAATCACTAAAGATGTTCAGGTACCTGAATGGAAACAGTCCTATGTTCCGGAATGGGTCAAAGAAGGTATTCCTGGTGAGAAATTCTTAGGTAAAGATAACCATGGTTGGGAATATACAAGCCACGACTTGTGGAGAAAGAAAATGATCTGGAAGCCTATATGGAAGAAAGTTTGGAAAACAGTGCAGAAGCAAGAATGGGTAACTGAGAAAAAGTTGGAATGGAAAGAAGAATGGAAGCAGATTTGGAGAACTGAAAAGAAACAAGCTTGGGTAACAGAGAAAAAACAAGACTGGGTTGAGGAGAAAGTACAAGTATGGAAGACAATTAAAAAAGAAATCTGGGTACCAGTACAGAAGAAAATCTGGGTAGAGAAGTGGAAGCAGATCCAGGTGCCTGTATGGAAAACAATAGAAGTGCCAGCGTGGAAGAAGGTTTGGAAGCCAGTTTGGGAGAAAGTTTGGGTGCCAGTACATCACGAACATCATGGATGGGATTAATAGATATTAGGAGCCACGAAGGAATCTTGTAAATATAGAAATATTTTTTTACAACTTAGTCATTTTGATAATTAATTGTAACCACGAGACTCCATACATTAAACTTCTGTAAATATAAACGCAATAATAGACATAGTACTGGTATGTAAACATATCACCATAATCTGTGACTTACGTGAAATGGAATTCTTTATTTGGCTCGTAAAAATGGTGAACGTTTAATTTTTCCATAAAATATATTTTTATCTGTGTGCGCCTCGGAACTGAAAATGGTTGGCAGAGTTACCATTCTATAGTTATATTGAAAATACGACTTTATTTTACTAAGTGTTATTAGTTATTATTAAGTTAAACACGATATTTTTTGATGTCGAGTAACCGTTGCTAATATTTTCTATACCTTAATATTCTCTCTTTCAAATGAACCGTAAATTTTGATGACCACGTAATGAATGAAGGAACATATAAATGTTCAAAGCTTGCGCTCAATAATGTACATTCAAGATAAAGGACCCGATAGAGGCTTGAAAAGTTTAAGTTACCAAATATTATTGTTTTGTTATTTTTTAATTGTTTTTATTTATAAATTAATGTTTTATCGATACATTGTAAAGTTCAAACCTAAAGTACAGAGATGTAGTACATTTTTTTTTGTTTTACATAGAAAATACAATATTAAAATAATGAACGACTATTATTTAATTTACTTGTAACCCATATTTTTTTGTAACAATATGTTTTTATGACATTCCTAGAAATAACCCACAAAGATTACGATACTTTACGAAATCTATCACACTCACTTGCTTTCTTTCATGAATTTTTAATATTATTTCATTTTCCCAATTCACCAGATTACCAAGAAACCAGACCCAAGAAACCACATTAAAAATATTTAAGTACCGTTCAAATGAGTTTTTTAAAACGATACTTGTTCCAACTTTATTTGATAATGTAATTAGCACTGTGTTCCTACATTATTGTTTAACATAATTATTAAATTTTAAATGCTAATTATTATTTAATTTTCGTGCACAGAGTATTTAAAATTAAGACAATTATGTACTTCAGGGTTATAATAAAATAAATAATAAGCAAAAGAACTAAGGTCGCGTAAAGCTTAAAAAAATTCTAGATCCTTGCATAACTTTTGAGACTGCTCTCTCATCTATAGGTTTGTTTACATTACATAAATATTAATACCACGTTTAGCGCTTAAATAGAAACCTAGATGAGTCAATGCTTGATTATTTTTAACTGCAGAATGTCATATAGCGTAACTTTCTCTTTTAAGCTGAAGAATATATTTGAGATTTAGTTATAATTTGCATACATATTTTTTTATTTACCGATGAATACAATGATCAAGGCACAATCCCTTATAATCCTAAATTAACCCACACCGAGAGACGTTCAGTTGATACATAAACAGTTCCTTTGTATAAATGTATCATACATTTATCTACGCTAAGAAACACCCTTATTGCTACCGTATTATAACAACAATCATGATTACAATTTCAATATGTAATTTGTAATTACGTAATTTTAACGTACGTATAAAATATTTTAAGATGGAAGATAATTTTATTTTAATATTATAAACATTTTAAATACAATATGATAAGGTAATAAATGTTGAGAACAATACAATCATTAAAAATAAGTTTCGATAGGCGGAATTTAAATATTAACTCTTTGGTTAAGGAGGAAATAATTGTATATTAAAAACGCAGGAAGCCAATGAATTACCTTGTTTCATTGTCTTAAAATTGCATTGAAATCACAGTCTTAATTTGGTATAGTTTGCTGTTATTTAGCTTGAAAACATTCTTTTTTTTTACCCAGATTTATTAGATTGTAAATTATTTTGACTATTAAAAAGGCAAAAATTGCATATTAAAATAACTATATATAGGGTTTATATTTTATATGTTGACACGGTATTGGTCATAAATAGCACCCTTGAGGTACTCCAAAGTGGTAATTTGCAAAATTTTAATTAGAATAACTGACTGTAACAAAGAGAACATATTTTGAACTTGAACTAAAATACCTAAAAGTTAATTGATTTATTTATAAAAACCTGTATACTATATTTTACCGAAGTAATGGCCCACTCTGTCGAAAGCTTTTGAAAAATCAATGTAAACTGTAACTATTGTTTTTCATGGTTTAAATTAGATATTACTAGAGTAATATAATTTTTGTTCCGACTCCGGATTTAGAAAAATCCTAATCGAGACAAAATACTTTTAAAACTATCCCATCCATCCATCCAAACCATCTGAAATATATTTTAAGGGTTCCGTACCTCGAAAGGAAAATAACGGAACCTTTATAGGACCACTTTGTTGTCCGTCCGTCTGTCTGACAAGAAGCTTTTCTATTATGAAAAATGAAAAAATAGCGCGTTAACATGAATATGTAGGAAATGTTAGCATGATATATGATTGTGATGGGAGTTTACAGGAAGTCTAACATTAACTTAGGTCGGGATGTAACTGCGGAAGAGACACGAGGCGAGAGGTCAAGTCAGGTGAGGCAAGCAGTGGGACCAGCTCAAATAAACTTGTGTGATTAAATTGCATATGTTAGGTATAATGGTCACCAGAATTGTTAATCGTAAGAGGGTGTTGAATCTCAATTCGAATTAAATAATCCTAATTGTAAACAAAATATCAAGATTATAAAGCTTGGAATAATATTAAAAAGGTTTTATTTTAAATGTGAAATTTTTAAATTACAACGTATGACGCCTCAAATTACTAGTTTATGATAATTATCTATGGTTTGGAATGTGAAAATATACGTGTTTGTAAGGCTGTCATTGTGTTCGAATATATTATTACATAAGAAGTATCTTGATCGGAATAGTCTTATATATTTCTAGGCCATTAACGACATTGAGCAAATGCTGTGCCAAATTAACAAAGCGGCGTTAGAAGAGTGCACAAATTTTTCTTTCTTTGTCTCGTGTTAAGATTAAGTTATTGCATAACACTCAAAGTTATTTAACTCCCACGTCTCTATATCTAAGTGGTTACGCATTTTACGCATAATGTTCCGTCGCCTTAATGATCTACAATGTGGGTGAAAGTTTTTTTTTTTTATAACAAGCAAGAGATTACAAGATGCATCGTTAGAGTGAATTAACTTATGTCGACGAGTACACCTTTGTAGTTGGTCGCCCGCTGTGGTGAAATTGTGTGAATGCGACTTGAATGAAATCCCCATAATAATATTCAGTAGGTCTGCAGTAGGCGAAAGTAGTAGGCGGTTGTCTACAATAACCTGTGTGAAAAGTAATTTAATAGTGTGACTTACCACACTATGTTTTGTAATTGTTAATTATAATATTTTAATCCATTTATTAATATCTTTTGTTTATGTAGGGTTTGTTTGTTTTAAATTTTTTTAAAGGCATAACAGAGTTTGTATAATATTTTCCGACCATTCCATTAGTTTCGTTCTGAATAATTCGGAACCGCTAGATCAATTTTGATGGGACTTGACGGGAAGGTCGGTAATGTACGCGGGCATATTATAGACTACTTCTTAAATTATGCGCTGACAAAATCTCGGGCGAGCCCTAGTTGGTTGATAATGAGAGAGAATAAATTGATGAAAACCAAAAGTTGTACCTCTGTTAATTAAGAAGCATAGGTGAGTAAATAAGCACTCATTCGTAGTCACGTTTTGTGACGTAATATCATGTAATTTATGCATCACAACATGACCCACAAGCACTGCACTTCACGATGCCCATAGTTATGTAAACTCTGTTTACAAATGCATCTAGCCGTCGCCATGTTACGTGCAAATCCACCTAAAATACCTCCTTCATTTAAGCAATTCTTATAAGTTTTATTTTGTAATTTTTAGACACTTAATTATTGTTCTAAAGCGAAAATGCTTTGGCCACTGGAGACTGATATATAACCCTTAAAGGTTGCAGTTTAGGACCAGATATAGCGTTAAGGATTAAAAAGTGGGGGAAGACAAACTGTTTCTCATTTTTCTTTGCATTTGGAGCATCATAATGAACGGGTGATTTCACAAGTACACATTGAATTTGTTTTATGTCCATTAAGTTTTTATTTGACACTGCACAGTTTCGGATGGACATTAAAGAGATCCGATTTACAGCACTTTATTAGTTAAAGTGTGAAGAAGTAAAAAAACAGAATAATTTACTTATTTGTATGGTTCTGTTTGTATTCGGGAGAAAGCGATTATACTGAATTCGGTTCTCATCCGTATAAAGATAACTTTGCGCGTGGCTCGTTTGCAGATTACGATCATACACTTGATAGTTGAAATACCGAGGAGCTCAATCCAACTTTATAGTTATATAACGCAGTTCCGGTTACGTAAGACAAGCGCCTTGCAAATGGCGATGCCCATCGTAAAGTACCTGTAAATCTACATATCTGTTTGTGTGACCGATAATACAACGAATCGAAAAGGTAATTGAGTGTTACGTTAGTGGCTTACGATAGAGGCTTATTTAAATATATCTAGAAATTTAATATTTTGATGAAAAAATCTGTATATTCAATTTATCAGAGCTAACAAACAGAACATTTTCGCTTGGCACAGGACAGGGATGGGTTCGATGAGCTGTCGGCCAACCTCCAGTAATGGAGAGGAATTAGAAGAAGAAGAAAGACAAATCAAAGAGCTTTATCACTTAACTCTTGATAAAATCATTTTATACATCTTAAAATTAAAAATGGTGTGACAAGATAATTTTTTTTATTTCAGAAGGTGGCAAACGAGCGAGCGGCCTCCTGAAATCGCTGAAATAGCGAAGTGACCGATGTCCACTTCCACTTCCCATCCTTTCCTTATAACAATAAGAGTGGGAAGGGAAAGAGGACTAAATTAGGCCTCCGGGACGAACACTCATCAGACGAAACGCGGAACTGCTTCCACTTCACGCCTGTCTTCTGAGTGGTCGTGGTTTTTCACCGGGCGAGCCGGGCCAATTCGTGCGAAGATGTTTAAGCGGGCTCTACCACTGTAGATATTATATTTTTGTGGTGTGGTCTATTTGGATCTTAGTAATATGCTTCCAAATTATAAATATCTGTAACACCGTTTCTTTTATCAATAGTTGGTAAACCAACAAATGCAAACAAACGTAAAGCAGTAATTTTTAAGAAATTGTATAACAAAAACTATTAACAGCCTCAATATCTTCGACGTAAATAATTTTACTATTATTACAATGTTAACATTTTTTAATTAATTTGATGCGCAGTATAAACTGTTGGAGTTTGTAATCTGCTGACATGTGCACTGGCTGGTTTTAGTCTGGTTTTGGTTTTATGAAAAAAAGTGTACATCTGTCATATGTAAAATATTTTTCCTTGTCTTTCACAAATATATTTTCCCAAGTAAACTTGTATTATTCATCAGGTTATGGGCCCAGCCCAGCACAAAACCTAGTAAATATAAAACGTTTTTATAATTATGGCTCAGTCGGTGCGAATAGAGT